ATCTGGCAGTCTGCTTCACCTCTCACCGCCACCACCCATTTCCTTTCTTTTGATAAATACTAAAGGTTGCTTATGCAAAGAAAATTTCTCATCATAATTACACAGGGATATTATTTATGAGTCTGATACCCTGAAAAAATATTTTTGAATCCCTAAAATTGAGGATGTTTTTGATGTCTCTTCCTTCTCTGAAATGAAAAAAAAAAGTTCTTAGTTATGTTTATCTCAGTTTCCAGTGCTTCATTCATAAATATTGCCACCCTGGTTTTATTTTGATAAAAGAAGGGAGGCACTTTTAGAAACAGGATTGCTTTGAGGTCAGCTGGTTTGATGAGAGAAGCTTCTTCTAATGGAGTATGCACAAAGTGCATGCATTTAGATACTCTGTAATTGGATAGTAAGAATTTATTATTTAAGGGTAATTCAGGTGTGGACATGAAAGGGATATTATGAAATGCAGTATTTTGCTTCCTAGTATCTCATTGTCTGATGTCACATGGATTTAACTAACATTCTTGCATTCCTTGAGAATGAGAATATATAGGAATGTTCTTTGTAACCGCTATAAATATTGGTTAATTGCTTGATTTGGAGGAAATCGCTCATCTGTGTTCATTGCAGCCTAGTAAAATCTGTCAACAAATACTGAGAACAGAGTGGGTGCGAAGGCTGTGTTCTGGCTTCTGTTTGTATCTATTAAAGAATAAACATAGTCCCTGCCCTCAGCTCACAGATTTGACTTGCAATTGTGTAAACAGGCAGTATGGCACTCCAGAAGAGGAAAATTTTAATGCTAGTGTTCTGTGATTTCAGACAAGGTGGCCATGGTTACAATAACTGCCATTGTGGTTACAAGCTGAAATAGATTTTGTCTTGTTTTGAAATCATCTCACTGTTTTATGAAAGGTGATTTTCATTTTATATTGCCAGTATAATCTCTGTGCCAAATTCATAGTGCGGAAATATTGTGTCTGTCCTCAAAGACTTTATATGTTAAATGATAAAAGAGGAAAGCTTGATAGTTGATTTAACTTTTAGGCACTTTAAAAGGAAGAATGTATGATATTGGAAATACAGGTGTCGACTGATGGTAGAAAAGCAAGGACATTTACTTGACATTAGGTATTTGGCTGTTAAGGGTGATGTCACATATGTTTTATTTTCTATAAATAAACATTATAGGAAATTTTCTCCCACTGGATAATTTCAGCTGTAATGTGGAAGCTGGCCTTGCCTCTCCTTTTCTGAGGTATTTAATTTGAGGTAATGGCAGCTGAAGTTCTCTATTTTCTGAAATTTTTATTTTTAAGTATTTAGATCTAACCATATATTTGTACTTATGAACAAACTTATAAACTTGTGTCATAGAGGCTAGAAATTATGGCGCAGAAATTGAAGGATTCGGTTTGGTCATTATTTCAGTTATATCTGTTCCTTTTGGTCTATGATATTTAAGGTAAAGAAGGACAATATTTCTTATGTTTTATCCTGTAAGTACTTCACCCACCTGTATGGTTCTGTCATAGCACTGTGATAGCTTCTGGCAGTTTATTTCAGTCAGTTAGGCTAGCCATTTAATCAGCTGGGTCTGAATTACTGTGTCTGGAAGGCTGGTTTACATCATTTCTATTTGGCTCTTGGCTGTGGCAGGTCAGTGTGCATCCTTATAGGTGAAAAATGATAGTATTTGAAGTTGCTGTGGGGAGGAAAGTGTATAATGGTGCCCAGGGGCTCGTTCAGGTAGAATCTGCTGGCTGCCTCCACGAGACTGCATCACAGTGGTGTTTATATTCAAGAATTTACCACTGTCTTCCTTTGGTACTCCACCAGGGACCAGAAATTTCAGTATGCTCCCTATCTTAAAAGGACAGTGGTTAGCAAAGTGACTGTCTTTAAAAAAGCCCTTCAGGGCCTCCCCGGTGGCGCAGTGGTTGAGACCTGGGTTGTGAAGCTGCCCGCAGCCTCTGCAGCGCTGATTCGATCCCCACCTGCCGAGCGAGGGTCCCACATAGTGCGCAGACCTCTCCTGCCACCCGCTGCTCCCCTCAGCAGTGTACTTCGTCAGTCTGCCTGTTCTGCTCTCCACTCTGGCTCTGGTGAATTCTCTCACCCTCCCGCACCTCTGACTGTACCCAGTGCTTGTATAAAAAAATAAATCTTAAAAAAAAGAAAAAAAAGAAAATGTAAGCTTTAAAAAAAAAAAAAAAAAAGTCCTTCAGAGCTTTTGTTTCAAGCCAAAACGCTAGTTTATTAATTTATTCCCAGAATCATATCCGTGGACAACTCAGACAGCTGTATTGGTTACTTGACCAGTACTCATCCCACTGTTGTTAAGACCCATATTATTGGGTACTTCTCAGTGAAAGCAGAATCAGAACAAGGGAAAGTGGTTATTTGATGCCATGTTAATGCATCCAGAACTGGATGTATGGAGGGAACTGTTTATAAGTACATAGATACTTTGTGTCAGATAATCTTCTCTGCATTATGCCACCAATGTTGGCCCCTCTAGCCTCTAACTAGTTGCTCTAACTCATTCCCCTGATGGTTACAGTCTTTGTTGATGAGATCAAGTTGGGGTTCTGACTTTGAGACCATGGATGACTTTACATATATAACTCTACTTTGATTCATGTTAATTTCAGAATTTAACTCATCATGAACAAACTTAGTTTTTTCCTTTCAGGATGCTGAAGTCGCCTTAATGTCAGCACTCAAATATAATCAAAGTTTCTCTAGGTCACAGTTTGATTAGCTTTTAGAATATAAATGTAAGGTCTTTCCCTTCACTTGATGTTTAGGTAGGAAAGCAATCTGATGGCCTCTTTCATTTAACTCAGGCCCACTGATGTGGAAGATGTGACTATCCTGAAAACAGCTGATTTCTGCCAAATAGGCACAATGGTGGGGGGTGGGAGGGGCAGTCTGTGATGAGATACCCTAGTCCTTGCCCTGTGGGATGTCTCTTCCGAGTGGCACAGCGACTCTGCCGTGAGTTGGTGGTGACCAGGGTGATTAATCAGGGACACCAGCACCACCAATGTGGGGCCCAAGCTGGTGGTCAGTGATCCAGGGAAGCTCGGGCTCTGGAAGGGTTCACTATCAGAGTCTTGGACAAGCTTTGTTGGCATGGCAACATCAATATTTTTCTTTGTCTTTATTTTTTATATATGTAGATTTTACTAAATGACAAATCTGAGTGTTGGTTGATTGATAGAAGAAAATATCTGTGCTTACCAGACAATTTAGTTAGGATTTAATATTGCCCCCCCCCCTTTTTTTTTTAATGCAATAGCCTTCTGCATTGTTTCTTTTAATTTCAGGAGAAATTTGTGTTTCCGCAGTTTTCCAGTGCAAGCACACTGTGGCCCTCTTCCAGATTCAATGCTGGCTTTTTAGGTGAAACTTTTAGGAAGTCTTTTCACCAGGGTTCATTCAAGTAACAATTTTAAAAAATAATTAGGCTCTTAGCCATGCCCTTTTTGTCTGTGAAGAATCTCCTTGGTATGATTTAACCCTAATAACTTCATTACAACTTTCTCCAAATTCTGGCTAATTATCTTCCTAGTATCTCTCAGGTTTGTTCTTGGCTCCTGGTTTTTCTTGCCTGTTTGTTTGCTGTTGTCTAAAGCTTTCATTGAGAGGGGAGGCCTGGAGCAGCTGGGAGGACCCTTGCTGGGAGTCTCCAGGGTTGGATGCTGGCCCTGCTGGTAATGACCTGTGTGCACCCTGGGCAGGTCTGCCTCCAGGGTCTCTAGTTTCTTTAGTGGGAAAACAAAGGGCTTGGAAAAATAAATACTGACCTGGACCAAACGATACGAAAGATCATCCAATGAGCTTATTTTGTGTATTTCTGTGAATGACAAACAGCACACGGGGAGTCCTCATCCCTCTCAGCGGTCCCCCAAACCTCTGCTTTACTCTGAGGTTGAGAGGTTGTACTGAGGCCATTTTAAGCATTCAAGCTGCAAGTGCTGCATTCTTAATAGTGTTGCTATTTCTCTCTCCCTCCCCTTTTCGCTCTCTTTCTCCTTCAGGAGCAACCTGCTTGCCTTTTACCATCCTCTCAGTGCGTTAGCAAGCGTGCGTGAGATGGGTAACTCTACCCTCTCAGGTTCGTCACTCTTTGTAATTGTCCAGCCATCTCATCTGAGTTAGTGGAGGGAATAGAGAACTAAAGGAGACTGGCTAAATGATGAAATAATGGTCCTTTTGTTCTGTCTTTTGCTGTAGGGATGGTTTCATGTTTCATCTTAGGCCTGGACCCATTGTGGTGTTTTTACATGCTCAGAACAATCCTGCTTAGAAATACAGCTCATTATTTAAAGGATTGAGCTGTAATGCCACAGGCCTGTTCTACTTACCTTCTCACCCTCCACCCCCCACAGTTATAGGTACTAAAAGTTCATTGTAGTGTGTGTTGTTTGATTGGATCCCCAGACATTAGTGTTGAAATGTAGTCCTCCTATATTCATTTTACAAATGTTTATAAGGAATGTTTCATTCTGATAACCTTCCGGAATGTTTTCCTTTTTGTATAATAATCAGTAGCAGCTGTGAAACATGCCTGTAACCATGTCACTTCCTTCTTAACCATTATCTTTTGGATTCTCTATTTTAATGCTTTCTTTTGATGAATTTGAGTTTGGAGACCCACATTTCTATGCCAGACATCTTACAGCAACGTGCCCGGATTTAGCTTACAACCTTAATTAGATGTGGAGTGCTGAGAATGCAGTTAGGGTTTTTCAAACTTTTATAACAAGACAGTGAAATTCTGATCAGTTTATTAAGTTATAAAGCATTCCTTTTTTTTTTTTTTTTTTTAGCATTTAGTTTCCCATTTTAGCTTGTCTGTAGAAAATTAAAGTAACACTCAAGATAGCTTTATATTATCCTAAGCGATCTGTTTGAACACAAGTAACCTCTTGTATTAATATGCAAGTTATATTTGACTTACAACTCTTAATAATTCTTCCCTCTCCTCTCTTTTTCTTTAGAAGCAAAAGAGCATTGAAAATGTTGAAGGCTGTGCTGAAGAAGAGCCGAGAGGGAGGAAAGGGGAGCAAGAAGGAAGCAGGTATGTGTACAAGAATGAGCTGCAGGACCTCCCTGGTGGTGCAGCGGTTGAGCGCTGGGTTGCGAAGCTGCCTGCAGCCTCTGCAGCACCGGTTCGATCCCCGGCTGCTCCCCGGCCACCAGGAGGAGGGTCCCACATGGCGCGCAGACCTCTCCTGCAGCCCGCTGCTCCCCTCAGCAGTGTACTTTGGTCCTTCTGCCTGCTCTGCTCCCCGCTCTGACTCCGGTGAATTCTCTCACCCTCCCGCGCTTCTGCCTGTACCCAGTGCTTGCATAAATAAATAAATAAATCTAAAAAAAAAAAAGAAAAGAATGAGCTGCACTGGTGTGGGGGGCATAAAGCAGCAAAACTCACTCCAGGCTGGGTGGATTTCACTGCTTTGGAATGGGTCAGAGAAATGATCTGGCTTAAAACAAATAGCATGCTAGAGGCTATAAGAAATGAAATACATTTCTGAGTTTTCCTATGAGAAGTGACTTTGAAAACTGAGTTGGGTTGTGACCCCAATCTTTCCCCAGAAATCTTTTAACATTCATAATTTTAACAAGTCATTCACAATAAGACAGTGAAGTTACTGATATTGAGGGATAGCAGGTGTGTCCAGGAATTTGGTTTCTAGAAAGCTCTTACCCTTTTCCCACACATGATTGCATTTTATATGTTTGACCAACTGCTGGCTGACTGGTCCTCATCTTTTGAGTATCAAATTTTCCTCCTAACAGGTGTGGCCCCACTCAATGCCAGACTGCTAGTTTTCATTTTGATGAGAGCTGCTTAATTTGGCTTGGATTTCTTTCCTGCTTGTAGAGTTCTGGTGCCTGTGTGCTCACTGAGACTCTGCACTGCATTCCATGTGATAAACTCCTCTAAGAATATTTCGGTGACCAGTCAAGCATTACACCCTATTTCTCTCTTTAGAGCTACATAATATTACCTATATTACACAATAAATATCTGTTAGTTGTGGATAGATTTCCCTAACCTATGCCATTTCTTTCTGTAATGTAATGTTAATCCAAAAATGGCTAATTTTCTAAGTTATTATATATCAAAATATTTCAGTTTTAATTGTTATTAAAATATAAATAAGAATGCTTATTACCAAATAACACTGAATTTCATAGTTAACTCTAATCCAAAGGATCTTGTAATACCTTGTGATATTTTCTAAGTTTTGTTAATTTGGCTAAAATCTGTAGTTTTTGTACATATAAGAGAAAAAGTAGCTTATAAACTTCTTGTTTATATGGAAACTGGACAAAATTTTATTAATTGGCCTTTAAACATTTTTGCAAAATGAGAAACTTACCTTAAAAGTTAGAGACTTTATTCTAAAGCTCTTCAGATTCCATTAGAAGCTTCTCTGTAATGCCTGGGTAAGAAGATACAAAGAAAAAAAAAAACAGTTTTTAATGATAGAAACAGGAGACCATGGTTCACTCTTAACCTTAGAAAATCAACCCCTAGCTTTGAATAATTAATTAGCTACGTTACTATGGAGAATTTTCAGTTGACATAACTTCTATTCAGGGTGGACATTTTTACCCTCTGCTTGGGTGAAGGCCAAAACATCCTTTTCTTTATTTCTCTGAATGCTGTTTAAAGCAATTTTTTTTTTCCAGTTTTGGCTCATCTGGCACTCATCTTAAGAACTTTATGTGCTTCTTTGGATGCCTTTGTAATTTCTAGCCTAAAGTTAGATCCTAACCTGTCTGTTGGACTGGAGCTGCCAACCAGTGGGTTATTTTTCTCAGGACCACATGACATTCAAGTCAAAACCTCCTACTTAATCACTTACAATAGACCACTCTTTTTGACCAGTGCCAGACTCATGAAATAATAGTATATTAATGACTTTCAGCACCCTGCCTTTCAGACAAGCTAGACAGTGGACATAGTTTGCTTCTGAAGATTTTCCAGTTTTTGAGCATGTGAATTTTGAGTTTATTTCCCTCTCTTTAGGAGCAACTACTGCTTTTTCTGAATCATTTTATAATAATTCCCACACTATTACTTTTTACTAATGCAGACCAACTTGAAAAAGCATTGGGAACATTTCTCATAAAACATCTGTATAGTATGTGCCTTTTTCCTCTTAACTAGAACCTGGTTGTATTACTTGGGGAACAAAGCAGATGGAATTTTAAATGTTGATGAAGTTATGTCACAAAAATGATTGGGGGAAAATACTTTGAATTTAACCATTCATATGTTGAGCTCTGTGCCAACTCTCATTATGTAAGTAAAGCATAACTGTTTCTCTGTAAATTAAGGCTAGCTAATCTACTGAGACTGCTCTGAAACTTGGGTAATAATATTTCCTGCAATATGGAAATATTTTCCCCTACTGTTTCCAATTAAACCAATCTTTGTTGCTTAGACAAAGGAAAACTCATTGTTGTGTATTTGAACTCACAATCATAGACATTTAGGAAATATTTATCTGAAATACTGAGTTCAGCTTTTCATGTCCTTTATAGATTGTTTTTATAGATAGTCGAATTACACTTTAATGTTGACTGTTTGGAGAAGGAAATATCACTGAATTAAATTCCTCAAAAAAGGAAAATATTTCTGAAGTATTGAAAAATTGTCATACCCTCGGCTCCTATCCTTGAAAGAAAATGTCACGTGTCTATTTTAAACTATGGGTAAAGTATTAGCTAGTATTGAAATACAAGTAGTATGCATATAAGATAATATGAATTATATACCATGAGATACTATAAAAACTATGGAAAGTCACTGAATGAACTCTAAAAATAGCAAAATTCTTTTTTTCCCCCCAGAATAGATGTTTCTCATTATTTCTTTTGAAAGATTTATTTATACCTACAAGAACTGGGGTACAGGCCAGAGGTGGAGGGGGGGGCGGTGAGAGGATTCACTAGAGAGAGCGGGGAACAGAACAGGCAGACTGAAATAATACGCTGAGGGGAGCAGCGGGCGAGTCAGGAGAGGTCTGCTGCGCCATGTGGGTAGCTCCCTGGTAGGTTGGGGATTGAACTCGTGCTGCAGAGGGCTGCGGACAGCATCATAGGTTGCGTCTTAACCCCTTGTGCCACCAGGGAGGCCCCTCTCATTATTTTTTTGATAGAGGTGGAATTTCAACACTGTATATGATTTAGAGGAATAGGTTCACACCTCCTCAGATGGCTGTCTCTTCATCACATCCACCACTGAAGCTCTCTTATCCCTTTACAGTAGGCCATTGAGCCCTCTCCCAATTTTCCCTCTATTGTAGCGTCAACCCTGCAGACATATTTCTAGGGTTTGTTTTGATTTAGTTCTGTCAGTCCCTTTGTTTAATTTTTCTATACTCCACATATGAGTGAAATCATTGGTGTTGGTCTTCTGACTTATTTCACTCAGCATAATCCCCACCAGTTCCATCTCTCTTGTCTCAAATGGTAAGATTTAACCTTTTTTTTTTTTTTTATAATAACTGTGTGGTATGCTATCATGTGCATGTGCATCTTCTTAACCCACTCAGCTGCCATTGGGTATTTAGGTTGTTTCCTTAACTTGGCTATTGTAAACAGTGCTGCAATGAATGACAGAGTGTATATATCTCTTTGAATTAGTGGGGTTTTTTTTTGCATTTTTTTTTTTTTGATAAATACCAAAGGATGGGATGACTGAATCACATGGTATGTCTATTTTTTAATATTTTGAGGATCCTCCATATTGTTTTCTTTAGGGGTCGAACAGTCCACATTCCCACCAACAGTGTATGAGGGTTGCTTTTTCTCTACACATTTGCCAACATATGTAGTTTTTTGATTTTCTGATATGGGCCATCATGGGAGTGAGGTGGTATCTCATTGTGGTTTTTATTTGCATCTCCCTAAAAAGTGACATTGAACATATTTTCATGTACCTTTTGACCATCTGTGTGACTTCTTTGGAGAAGTGTGTGCTTAGCATTTCTGCCCATTTTCGGATTGTGTTCTTTTTATTGAGTTGTGTTAGTTCTTTGTAGAATTTGGATATTAACCCCTTGTTGGATGTATGATGTACAAATATTTTCTTCCATTCAGTAGGATAATTTTTCATTTTAATGACTTTTCTGTGCAGAAGCTTTTTAGTTTGAATCAGTCTCAGTTGTTTATTTTTGCTTTTATTTTCCTTGCTGTTGGCATTAAGTCCCCAAGACAACACTGAAGACAGTGCTGTGTAGTGTGTTGCCTGTGCTTTCTTCTATATATTTTATGGCTTCTGGTCTCACATCCAAATCTTTAAATTCATTTTGAGTTAACTTTTGTGTATAGTATAGGGTAAGAGAGTGCTCTTATTTCATTTTTCTGCATGTGACTGTCCAGTTTCCCAGCACCATTTGTTGAGGAGACCTCCCTTTTTCTGTTGTATACTTTTGGCTAGTTTGTGGTAGATTAACTGTCCATATAAATATGAGTCAGAAATGGTTATAACAGAGCAAAAAGTGTTTAGTGAAGGCTATGGAATCATGTCAGAATGCAATTAAAAATTTTAAAATGTTTTTTGAAAAGTACATTTACCTTGTCCCACCATTCTATCATTGCAAATGCGCACTTTATTTTTATTGACCTTGAGTTAGGCTTACGGGAGCAGAAATCAATACTAAACCATAATGTGGGGAGACCAGACATGGAGATCTATTTTTTTCTCTCGCTGATGTTATATTAGAATTTTTATCTGAAACAACTTAATGAGTTGTTAATATTTATTTTGAAGTTCCCCAGAGACATCTACAACCTTCTGTCACATGTCTCTTTAAATCTTTATTGTCAGAAAATTTTCAGGTTGCTATCATTAAAGATTATTTAGAGATAAAATAATTTTTGCACTCTTGAGAATCGTCTGATATCAACTCTGGAACTAATGAGAGTTTAGAGTGACTGTATGAGCAACATAGAATACAATCTAGTCTTTACAGCTGTGTTGTTGAGTAAATGAATAAGACAATTCTATTTTATCATAAAAACAAAAATTTTGTCAACCTTAGAACTGTACATATCTTA